GTTCCTCTATAATGAGATTGATGACTGCCTTAAGTGCTATCATAGAGCCTTCAGTCAGCAGCTGATGGAAGCAGAAGCAGAGACACACTGCTAAGCACTGAACTGAACTCCTGGAATCCAGTTGTAGAGAAGGAAGTGCAATGACCAAAGGAGTTAAGACTATGCTTGAGAAACCCACAGAAACACTGACCTAAGCAAGTTAGAGCACAGGGACCCCAGTGTACTACCCAGGCCCACTGAATGTAAGTGTCAGTTGGGAGGCCAGGGCAATCTATAGTACCTCTGGCATTGGTACCAGCATTTATCGTTAGCACATGGACTTTGGGGGTCCATTTTCTATAATACTCTCTAAGTCTAGATACATAAGGAAAGGGCCTAAGCCCTTCCCCAAAGGATGTGATAGACTTTATTGATACCCCATAGAAGACCTCACCCTCCCTGGGGAGTAGATGTGGGGTGGGATGGAGGTTGGTGAGGGTCATGAGAGGATAGGAAGGAGAGGGAACTGGGAGTGGTATAGAAAATAGGATTGTTCTTAATTTTGAAAATTAAATATATTTTTAAAGTTAAAAAAGAAGAAAATTACTTCTTAAATTGCACAGATTTCTTAGAGACACAACCAATATGGTAGATAGGCAGAAGCCTGCACTGCTAGACAGACAGACATAGGAGAGTCAAAGTACATAGATAGATATATTAGATAGAGAGATGATAGATAGATGATAGATAGATAGATAGATAGATGATATATAGGCATACAGATGATAAATGAGAGTTAATTTATCAAATCAATTGGTTCATGTAGTTTTAGAACTAATTATTATCTCTGTAATCTGACTGCAATGGGGATACTTAGGAAAACAGGTGGCATATCTGAATGCAAGTTTAAAGCCTGTAAACAATGGAGTCAATTGTGTAGCATATCCTTACTAGAAAATATATAACTTCATATAAAATATTAGTATTTTAGCTCATTTTCACAAAGAACCACATTTTGTACCACAACAACCTATATATAGATTGAATAGCATGTGCAGAAGGCCCCAAGGTAGGAACTCAGCAATACCCGACAATGTGGTTCCCTTGAAACTAAGAGAGGAAGTGATAATCAGTAATGCCAAAGTTTCTCATTTGATTACTTGTAGTGCAGTGGGAAGGGAATGTAGAATCTAGAAATCATACAAATGTGACACTTCCTGGTACCATTATTCCTTTGGAAAGAGAAGTGAGGAATATGGAGCATGTGGTTAGCAATAGGAAAGCAAATGCATGATCAATTCTAACCTGAAAACATCAAGTCAAAAGCATGTTTAAATTTTTATCTTTTATTGACAATAACAGCAAAGCAGAGCATGACCTGACCCTACATGTATATTCATCTCTGTTACTTTTCCTCTATAGGATGGAGCTACTCCTGGACACTGTTTATTTGTTTCAAATATAAACACTTCCAGGATATTTTAGGTTGTTTGTAGCTATTGTAAAGAGAGATGTTTCTCTGACTTTTTTCTCAGC